GCCGGGTAGGCAGAGCCGGGCAGAGGAGCGCGGCGTGGCCCCGCAGGGCCGGTGCCCCCCTCTCCGCCCGCACCCGTCGCGGTGGAAGGGGAGCGGGCAGGGGAAGGCGAGGAAGGAGCCGGGGGGGAGGAATCAGGGCTTCAAACCCATCTCTGTGCTTTGCTGGCAGCACCCCGTAACTTCAGAGGGGAGAGCGTCAAGCGCCGCGGGTTGGGAGAGGCTTACGTAAATGAGCCCTCTATTGAAATAAAGATATGAGACATATCCTCGGGTGTGCGGGCTATTTATAGCAGCTTGCTCATGATGCTTGCCATTCCTCTGGCACTGGATATGTGAACTGTGCATAAACAACTGCCCTTTTATTAACTCCGAAGGCCTGGACTTCAGTGCTTGGACGATAGATCTTGGTGGATTATCGTGTTGACACCTCTGCTGTGGAAGGAAAGTCCACCAGCACCTTTTATTATTGGGTCAGCTTCCTAACCGAAACTTTGTGTCATTTCTTCCCAGCAATGAGCCACTTGTCAGGAATGGCAGAACATTTTCCACCGCAAACTCAGACTGATCCCTTGGCTGATGCACCCTTATTTTAATGGTGCCGTGAGAATTTACAGCAATAGTGGGTCCCTAATTTTTCATTTAGTTTTTTCCCATTGGTGTTGAATACCCTTTTTCTGTTTGCTGATGTGCGATACTCCCTTTGCTTTTGCTCTCCCTTAGTCCTTCCCTTGGTCAGACCTCCTGTGGTCCACCTCCATGTGCAATCCAGAATACACTTTACTCAGGGCAGAAGAGAGAAGTGGGAAACAGGAGCCCTGGTGAGGAACTGATACTTTTACCATCAGGTGCTTGTTTCTGTGCTTTCAGATACGTTGGTGAGTTAGCAGCCACAGGAAACTGCAGGAGTTACTCTAAAGCTGCCCTGATAGATCTAATTGTGTCTTGAGGGCATTAGAGGTACCTTAAATGACCTGTCAGGATCCCTTCCAGCCTTCTGTAGTACTCCATTACATTGCTCTGTTAACCCCATCGTATTTATAGGTGCAAAAGACAGGGTAACAACTCATACCCAAGCAAAAAAAGACCCTGAAAGGTCACAGAGCGGGCACCTGAGCGTTCATCTCCTCTCTGTTCTCAGCGAGCTCTTCTTCCCACTATAGATAGCCCACTCTTGGATGCCTGCATCCGCCTCCCTGCAGAGCAAGCAGGGATGCTGTCAGTAATGCTTCAAAGCAGTCTGTGCCCCAAATAGCACATGTCCCAAAGGCACACTTAGCTGAGAACATTAGTGCATTTGTACCGAGAACATCGCCCAGCCTCTCCCAGCGTGCTCTCTTCCTGGCAAACTTGATAGAGAAATCACAAAAGCAGTCACGCAGCCTATTCTTACATCTGCTCTCGTTTGTTTTCCCTGGGCTTTGTATTAATTTGGACACAGGAGTTTCTTGATAGAAAATGACAAGTGACAAGTGCTGGAGGTATGATGTGTTGTTCGTGATAATCGCCCATTGAACGCTAATGGCACTTCTATGCTTCCACTCCAGTGCTTCATTGAGGAGCTGGAGTAGCCACTGCCTTGGAAAAGGCCTGATTTGGACACTTCTTTCCTCGCTAATTTGTTAAAGTAAAGTTAAAGCATTCTGCTTGGAGCTTAACAGATACGGCTTTATTACTTGCTAATTATTGTCTGGAAGGTTTGAGGTTAAAAGAAGAAGTTGTTGGAAAATATGAATTAATGAGGAGATGTCCCTTTGCCTTTTCTCTTCATCAGAACAGCTTGAATTAAGAAGATCCCCTTGATTTCAGAAAAACTCATTGAGAACTGAGGGGCTTTGAGCTGTTTCTTGATAGAGCTCTGCATCTAAAAGTGGCTTGTGCATGGTCCAGATATCTCAACTTCCAGTGCCGTCTTTTAAAGAGTTAAAAACACTTGTTCAGGATGGGCATGAGCTTTCAAAACCCTGTCAGGTATATTCTGGATACTGCAGGTGGATCATCGCCTTCCTTTGTGTCCCTTGTGCTCTCCCTGTTGTAAAACACAGCACTTCATGCAGCTCAGGGGATGTGCAGCTGGTTACAGCAGCGGTGCCCAGGGAAGCACCTGGGATGCTTGCCTGGGTCCACACTGGTGAAGCACAATGGCAGTGTCCTCGGGAGAAATTTTGTGTCATTTTCTCCGTGCTACTGATATAGTTTTAAACTAAAAGCGTCTAAATCACAGGGAAAATAATTGGTTGTTTCATACAGGCTCTGTGCCTTGGGAACTGCATTTGGATGGTGCCTTGCACAGAAAGTGAGAAGTGTCTCACAGTTCATGGAAGAGCTCAGTGGAGTACATTTTCAGAGCTGCCTAATAAGAAATTTGGGTGAGGGGAGTCCTGGGACATTGGCAGGACATCCTGGGTCCGTTTTTCTGCGTTCAGGCTGTTTTATATCCCTTTTGTGGTGGGGTGGCGATAGGGACTCAGAGGTGAGAGGCAGCTGGGCCTGGTCCCAGCGCTCGTACTGCAGCAGCGGAGGAGCTGGCTGGTTGCCCTCCCTCCTGTCTGCAGAGAGCTGTGCAGGGTTCCCAAAATATCTTCCTGCTGCTGGCAGTGGGGCAAGCATGGAAATCGAATCGATGTGTTCAATGTGAAGCACGAGAGTTGGTGTGGAGCAGACAGGTCTACACGGGAGAATCCAAGTTTTGCAGGAGAGAGCAGGCATCCCCTGCGCAGTCCTGTGTTTGGGATATTCTCCCTTTCTGCTTCACCAGACAACAGCAGAAGCTAAGAGGTTCTTGCTCTGTTGTTGATACATCCTTATCCAGCTGTTTCTAGGTTAGCTATATTGAGTAATTAAGCAGGAAT